GGACGCCAACAAAGTACGACGCACCACGAAGAAGGGCAACCACGCCGTGGCAGCCACTCAACGGCAGCAGCGAAGAAATAGCAAAAGCAAAGTAAAAAGTTGCGCTACAAAACTAAAAACGCAGCGTCTAAAGCGCTACCTAGCAAATGTGCGGGCATCGAACGCCTTGGCGACTTGCCACATACACAGCGCCATGCTATAACACATACATACACACCGTCAGGTTGTTGCCTGCCTGACAGCGCTCAGCGCTAGTTGATGATGTATAGCCGAAAAATAAGCGCAATAAAAGTAGTTTGAAAAACGCGTGGACACACCCACAAACCAGCCATTGCCAGCAGACAGTAGAGCCTTTTAAACCTCACCATTAAATTAGAATATGTTTTCGTAAATTTTTCTATATTTGCTTATGCCACATTAGTGGCGTGTTATTTGTCTTTCGTCGCGAGCTTTTTGTTGCCGCTTAGTTGTGCTGTCATTTTGATTAACGCAAACAAAGTTTTTGCGGCACTTGCGGCGGTCAGCGGACAAAGCAGTTGCAATCTGTCGTGCGAGAATTTTTTTTTTGTAATAACTGGAAAACATTGTAAAAAGCCAGCGTTAAAATGTGAAAAGTGCGCTTTAAATTACTAAAAAAAATTTTAAATTTTTAAACTTATTTTTGTTGGAACTGAAGTGCGATGTCGAAGGTTACCTGCTGGCTGCTGTCGGTGCTGCAGCTACAGCCCGTAATAAAGGTTGCGTATACGCCACGTACACTGTCATTTAAACGCTTGCTATGACTTATTATTTGCGCGTGAAGCTGCATTAATAGTATTTTTTGTGCTTGTGGCTGTGTGTGTGTGTGGTTGTTAACACTCTCAATAGTCATGGCTTAAAGCATTACATGCTTGTCACATATGTATCAGCGTTATTTGCCTTGCATAAACTCGTACACAACAAATGGCGTACAATTTTAATGAGCGATGTTGTAATAACTATCTATATGTAAAGCATTTATAAGCGCTTTAATGCGTATATGTTAATGATATATACATAGTAAATATACATATGTATGTATATATGTGTGTGTTAATTATGTATACCATATATGCATAAATGCTCTTAATAGCAGCGCCCACTACTTAACAGGCATACAGAAAATAATTAAAAATCCGCAAGTATTTAATATTTGTTGAAATACCGTTGTAATCAGTGAAAATTACACATTTACACCAATAATAATTCAACTGTCATTGACGTGCGCAGCATAATTACAATATTTAATATCAATATTACAGAAATTCTTTATTCCACCGTATTGATTGTCGATATCTCTCTATTTATGCGCATTTAATATACATTATTACTGCAAATATCAGGAGTTTAACCTATCAATATATTAACACGATGATATATCATATATTGTATATATATTCATTTAATCATTTTGTAATTAAACCATACGGATTAACCCTTCTGTTTTCAATTACTGTATTACATAATATTTGATATTTGTTTGAAATACACAAATAATTATGAATTTATGAAACACCAATTTAATTAAATGACGCACAAAAAGTAATTCGAAATTTTAATATCATTTTTGTTTGAGAATGAAAAGAGAGCACAATTTTAAAATCAGCAATTCGCTCCAATTTACAATTCTGAATTTACGTAAGAGTGAATAAATTACAGTGATTAAAAGAACTATTTCAGACTAATTGAGATATTTTTAATTATTTAATAACTTTTATTTACATAGCATGAACGAAATGATATCTGATTTTTGAATCATAAAATTAACTTAAACTATTAAGTCGCAGCACTAAGTTGCTTGAATTCAAGACTTTTCGATTCGTTAACTATCATAGGAAGAGAGCCAAGAATATAACGCAATAAGTTAAAGAAATAATTCGTTTCGTCTGAGTATACTTGTATACATAATAGGAAGATTATAGGATAGAGACGGTAGAGGGCGCTACTCTCGAAATATAGTTTACCAACACACTCATCACACATTTTATACTACATATTTGAATTCAATATTTTTACATCAAGTAAAATATTCCCAATATAAATGTGTCCGACAGATGGCGCTATATTTGAAATTGGCGATTCCAATCAATGTGCAGCTTCTCGATTAGAAAAGAACATGTGAAAGGATTTCAGATCAATAAATTAATAATATACATTGCTCGGGGTATAAAACTAAATTTTTATAGTGCTCTATTGTTCATAAAGCTTGAATTTTTTTAATGTGTCTCTTTCATTGGTTTGACTGTGAATATCATTAAATTTGACAAGTGAGAAACGCGCATGATAAAAAGAACGCAGCAATTGACAAACAGCTTTAAAAACCGCTGAAATGTTTGTCAAATTTGTGATGCTAAAATTGACCACAAGTGAGTTCGATAGAAGGCGCTGCGGTTGAAGTAGCTCTAAAATACTTTTAGCTACGCGTATACATACATATATGTTTGGGTTTTACAGATTCTAAATATATGCAAGTATGTATTTTTGGTATAGCGTTATTGATTAATATTGAAATTGAGAAGGATGGTACTATGGAATGGTATTACAATTCGAATGCCGGAATTTTATAAGCATATTGATTCAAATGGTAATATTTCAACCATGTTGGTTAAACGAAAACAATTTGGTTCGTCTTGAATTGCTTTAAAAATAAAATGACACACGTTTAAGTCAGTTTCACTACAAGTGTACTTAAATTTGACGCAGGGAGAGTAATAAAAGAATTTTAAAAAAGGACAAACTTTTTTAATAATTAGGAGCCCTGTACTGTCAGAATGTACAGAAATCGTCTCACATATAAAAAATTTAAAACAATATGATGTTAAAATTTTCAAAATTTTTTTGATTTCAGTTTTCAATAAGTTTTTCCTTTAAAAATAACGTACTAAAAAATAAATTGATATCTAAAATAGTTGTGGAATAACAGCCTTTTAAAGTGTAGCCGTAGTCAATTACTATTTTTCAATACGTTTTTCTCGAAACTATATTTTTTCAAATTTGCTTGAGTAATTACTCTGCGTATGACTCACCATACAATGGCCTACCAGTTTCTTGATGCGACCACAAATCGAATTTCAGCAGGTCAAAAGGGAAGAATTTAACTTTTTTTTTATAAAATTTGCAATTTTTATTATTATTTCAACCGAAAATCATTGTATGGTTAATATCTTATAGTGGAGATTGGTTTTTAGGTTTCATCAACGGAGAATGCCGGAATCACTCCAGCAATGGAAAACCTTGTTTAGCGCTGACAAAGATCGCGTTTAATTGGAAAAATATTTTATTTTTTCTTCAAAAATTAAATTGTATATTTTGAAATATGTATATATATACCCGAAAAATTTTAAAACAAAGAAATTTTTTTTTGGCTGTCACACTAGGTGTGCAGTTATGACAAAAATATTCTACGACTGCTTCAAACTCTTTTCACATAAAATATATACGAGTTAATATTTCATATGCTTCCCACAATTGAAACTACTGGTTTAAATTATTTAATTTTTTGCTTGGTGTGGCGAAGTTAACTGCGAAATCTCTATATAATTTATTCATTCATTGATCTCTGTCAAACAGCTTAATTTTATTTTGAAGCTGTTTTAGCAGATATTTCAATTTTTTATATTAGATTTGAAATAGATTTTTTGTACTGTACGGCTTGTATTGAGAGTGGTCTAAAGTAAGAACGTTATCAAAGAGTTTGCAGACAATCATACATTCTAATATCATAATTCTTAATATTACTAAATAAAATTGTTTGCTAGAAATGCAGCACTACTTTATTGTAGTTAATAAAAATTTACAAAATAAACTAATAAAATAAAATACTAATTTTTTTTCTTATGTCTATATGAAATCGGTTCAAAAATATTTTCGTTACATCAAAAAACCGCGCTAAACAAGCGCAAACCACCATAACTGTTATTAAATATTTATACGCAAATTAAGCTGCTAGAAACCAACATTTCTGTAATTTTCTATTGCTCTTTTCTGTGTATGTGTGAAACGCGTTGACTGAATGTTGGTTGAGCAACAGTGCGTATACGTAACACAAGAAGGATAATGTGAGCTTTTTGTATACAACTCCAAGCAGGCGCCACTACTCCGTATTCCACCTATACATATGCATAAATATACGCTTGCATGTAGTTGCGTAAGTTTGTGTTTGCTGCGACCACATGTGGTTTCCCATCATGCATACATAATAAATATATGTACAAATTGTTTGCGTTTTTTTTTTCGTGCTCACTGCGAATTATTATATATAGCAACCGCCGAGCAGCTAGTGAGAGGTATAGTGTTTTCCTGTACTAAATCAGGGAATAAATAAAATACGAAATCCACTGAGCGCCAAGCAAATTTTAATCCAATTCAATTTGTGGTTATTCATAAAGTTCTATATAATACACATAAGTGCATATATGTATAATCTATAATCAACAACTTCCGCACGCACACATACACAGCTTACAGATATGCTAGTATAGTAGTGTTTACACGAAGTATTGTGGTCTTTGTTCGCGTTTGGCCGTGTTTTTCTGTGCGCTTCATTAAGTCGCCAAAGTTTTTCTGAGCGTGTGCGCGCACAATCACGCCCACCACTCATCGCATCCCAGAGCCTATAGGTTATATGAGGAAGCCACCCACCTTGTAGGCTCTTGGGCACTTGGCTTGAAGCATTTAATTTCATTTGCTGCTTCATCAGTAGTTGTGTGCGTGCATACATGTGTGAGGTGTGTTTTTGTTGGTGCGCGTGTAAATAAATTTGCTTATATGCATTTTCGACTTGTTTAAATTTACATGCAGTAAAATATTAGTTTACAGCCACTTGAATATTAAAAATTTAAACTGTTGCATAGTTCAAGGCGCATATTTTTAGTTTTTCACACCTCAATGGTTTTTACACTTCATATTTGCAATTTTTCATAAATTTATTAAATTTTGGCGAATTTTGTTATTAATTTTTACTTTTTTGGTGTATTTTGCAGCTCGTCGGTGGCGAATTTGATATGGAATTAAATTTTGTGATACAAGATGCACAAAATATTAAACACATGCTAGAACTGCTGGATCATTGTCCGCCAAATCTACAGGTAAGTGTTTCACATTAAGGCCTTGATCTTTCAAAGTTCTTAATTAATTGCAAAATTTATAGAATACTCTTCAAAGAGTGTTCAAAAAATGTTAAACTTGATTTTATTTAGTATTGCATATATAGAAATATTGGTTTACATGTGTATCAATATTCAATAACCATAATATTTTTTGCCAAATTTCATGTTGAGGGAAAACAAGTCAAAATAACCGGCTTTCGGCGATTTGCAGCAAGCTGAAGGAAAATATAATATTACAGCTCAGATAAATCGAAAACGTTATGTCAGTGCAAGTTTTTCAATTTGTTCTCTCACGTATAAGAGACTTCTCTCTTTCGTTCATTGCTAGCACCATTTGGGGCCGATTTTAATACTTTCCACTTTAAGACACTTTATTTTTATAACTATAAACCGTAAATTCATAACATATTTACCATATATATGTATATTTATATATATATATATATATATAAATACCTGTTTATAAATATATATATATATAATATATATGTATGTATGGTATATATATATTATTTCTGCTTATTCATTTCAAATTAAAAAAAGTTTTCTGATATTTCCAGTTTTCTTTTAAATTAAAAAATTTATAAACAGGTGGCAACTCAATCTAAACATTTTTATAATAAAAAACTTACAATACCTCTTCCCAATTGCCTGCTATTTTCAAATAATATTAACTTTTTCAGAAATTTTATTTTTTTAAACAGATGGCAACTTTAATTTTTTATATACCACATTATTTAAAAACCCCATATTACATATCCTTAAATGCAATTTATTGTGACATAAATATTTTGTAATTATAAGTTTTAGTTATTTTCTTTAAATTTAAATGGCAACGCTGTAAAAATATATATGTCATTTAGAAAACTGCCTAAATAAAATGCTCGAGTGAATTATTGCAAATTCGCATGAATTATATTAATATATTTCCAACTTTTAATTAAATACACGTGGCAACTCTCTTTCATTTTTATCTGGTTCCTGCAAGTTTAAAACCTGTAGTTAAAAAATGTAGGGAGTTTACTGATACTTCGTGCTTAAAACAAATTCAAGGAGCTAAAATTAATTGTCAACACATTTACATATTTTTTACTACATATATGTATGTATGCAAATGGATTAATATATACGTGAATATATATGTAACTTCATAATTGAAGTCAAAGGGAAACAAATTTATGAAAAAGCAGTTTTTTCGTCGGTAAATTTGTCAAAATCAGGACAAAAATATAAAAATTACTGCACCGGCAGTACAATACGCAGGCACACCTCTCACTCACACACATACATACAAAAAAATATGCTACATTGAAAGTAGTCAAAATTGCATGAGCACATCACCAGCGGCGTCATTGTAAAAAGGTGTAAAGCTCACCGTAAATGCCCGTGTTTTACTTCTTCTCAAGCGGAAGCGGCAAAGTGGTGAGCTCGCAGCATAACTGTATTTCCTGCGGTAAAGCGCGCACGCACAATTACGCGCCTCGAAAAACTTAAATCACATTTATGCAACATAAAAGTACAAGTTATTTATTTTCCACAGACAGTTTTGTTTTCATTGTCCTGTTGTTGTAGTTTTTGTTGTTGTTGTTCACCTGTGACGCTAATTTGTTATGCCAAACACGACACATTGACGCAAACGTGAGCGGCAAGCGCAAGTGTGTCAAAGCGCTGGTGCAGCAAGCACAGTATGTACCTACATAAATACGAGTATTTATGTAAGTGTGTATATATATGTATATATGTGCTTATCGGTGTATTAGTTTGGTCAAGGGGCAGCTAAGTTGCGCCACCGGTGGTATGAGCAAATATAATTTACCACTTTCTTGTGCATTCGTTGGTCGTAAAAAGGATTTATTGTCACCGACGCTGCTGCTTGTTGCCCACTCTTTACCCCTTGCCACACCTGCTGCTGCAGGATTTGTTAGCAGTCTCGATTTGTAAGCGTTGCAAGCATTGTTTTAACACACTTGCCACACTTGCCATTCGTGCCACGTTCACTTTGGTTATTGTTGTTGTTGTTGCTGATCATGTTTTATTGTTTTTGCCGTTATTACTTTTAACAAGCATGGCCGTTGTTGCTGCACCTTGACTTACCGTTAGTTAGGCCGCATGTTGCCTATCGCCTTGAACAAAATGTTCAAAAGTCACAAATTGCCTGTCTACAACAGCGCTCCCGCACCCTGCTGTCGCACCACCCCACCCCCATCGCTTAATAATTTTACACTTTTTGCTTTTGCTGCTTCCTTTTATGCTTTCATTTGTTTGCGCTACACTTGCTCACCTGCCAACAACAGTTATGGAGGCCGTAACACTAACGGTTACAGTTAAAGTGGTAAAACAACCTTTTTGCTGTTGTCCTTGTCCCATTTACACTTCGAAAACTTGCTACCTTTGAAAATTCTTTGTTATTTTTTGTTGTTTTTATTGCTTGTTATCTTGTGCCGTGGTGTGGGTGTGGTCTGTCTGAACTTGAAGTTTAACAAACGTACGAGAGCAAATGCCCAGCGGAGGCTGTGTGTGTGTTGTTTTTGTTGCTGTAAGTTGTAGCAAACATTGTGGCCAACAACAATTTACATGCCTATAAATTGGCAAACACTTTTACAGCCATAGTTTATGATTTGGTAATACTTTATTGTAACAAATAACCATTGTGCAGGCATTCGGTTAGCTCGTGTTTTCAATAGTTAAGCCAATTAAGTTGTTCAACCGAAGGCAACTGAATTCCATAGAAATTTTTGAGAAGCCAAAATTATGTGTATATACATATATATGTACCTATATAGGTATTATAATATGGTAGTCCTTGAAAATAAAATATTGTATTTTCTTTATCTCACCACTCTTATTGGTTTTACCACAATCAAAGTTATCCGGTTTTTTAGGATGCTTTAGATTAGGTTAAGTCGTAAAATTGATCCAAAATCGTAGCATACTTTCAATCCCAGTCACTTTCTTAAGTCCTCCAAACATTCTCCTACAGAGATATTTCAATCTCAGTCTTTCAGAAGAAAGTGACAAGCTCTGAAGATATATCAATAAAAAAGTTTTCCATAGAAGGAGAGTTTTTATGACAGTATATGCTATAGTTGTCCGATAGAAACCATTTCTTTGAATATTATAGCGATGCCTTGGATAAAAATTTGTGCCAAATTTCGTTTTCAATACAAGGATTTGAGTTGGATGGGTCAGTTTGTAAGACAGCTAAATGCTACAGTTGTCCAATATCAGTGGTACCGAAAAATTAGTAACTCCTTAGTAACATCGATGCCTTAAAAACTGAGGGACTAGTGATACCGAAGCGAATGAACAATTTCCGAGTTCAGTTGAGAAACAAAAATCCTGCGCTAGAACCAGTTCCCAGTCTGATGAAATTTAGTCAAGGATTTTCTTCATCAGCTTGCTTATCAGCTTGCTCCTTAAAGAGGGAGCAACATCTGATTTAGAGAAACAATATACCGAATAAATATAATGAAAGGAAACTCTACAGTACGCTCTTCTATATACATTCCATTTTTTTATTCTTTATTTTGTGCGTCAGATAAATAAACTATGTATCTTATGTTTTTTGTTTTCAATTCCATATATTGCACTGCCAGTATTTTGCCGGAAGAGAGTTTTCTCAAAACGCAAATGTGTGTAGCTCTAAATCAATTAGGTAAAACGCATACGCACATACATGCCAGCGCTTACATAATTAAGTCGTTAATCCATTAGTCATGAGTGTATTTACGTGTATAATCAACCTACCAGCAGATCCATACCTAATCAGCTACTTAACTAAAGCACTGACTTACTGACTCCCTGAAGCTGAATCAGAGCGCACTGTGAGTTGCGTGTGTGTTGTAGCGTGTCGAATTCAGCGAGTGCTTTTAGTATAATTTCACACAAACCGAAACAAGTACCATAACCAAGCGACTAAATATTTTGGCGAGTGACGAGCGGTCCTCACCTTTGTGGCGTGTTTGCTTGGTCGCACACCCGCTTGCTTTTCGGCCGCAGTTGATTGTTTATGTATGCTTTTAGGCAGCTTAGTTTTGTGGTTGTCAACTACTGTCAACAACAGGCGCTATGGCCAGCAGGCAGGCTGCTTGTATGCAAGTGCAACTACTGACAGCCCCGCGGGAACAAGAGATAGTAGACATAAAGAACTGAAAACCGCTGAGTTCTTATTGTTATTCTCTTAATTTTCATAAGTTCATTTAATTTTTAACTTTTTTGTTGCACAAACGACGAAAAATAAAACTCTTTTGCCACGCGCAGCCAATTACCGGAAACTTCTGTGGCGTAAATCTTAAATAATCGCTCTTAATCGCTTAGGTGCCAAGAGCGAGCTGGAGATTTAATTGAAATCTTTTGTAATATTTAAGTGTTTTAATCACTAAGTAAAAAAAACCTGTGCGCTTGTGTTTCGAACTTAAATATTATCTTATTTAACGTTGTATGTAAATGAGTTTAAACATTAAGTTTTATTGAGTATTAAACTAAGGATTTTGGATATAGTGAAATTTATGATTTTCTCCCGATATCTTCAAATTAGGTGTATTGAGAATTTCGTGTTCCAGGAAAGCCAGCTTTCGGAAGTCTCTAGTTGTTCCAAAATACATTATTAGACCTGAAACTTATTCTAAACGTTAGGTAAAAACCTTTTAACGCTACATTGCTTATTCGATTCTGTTGGGATCGGACGATTTTCCTTTAGAAATTTCCAGAGCTCAAAGCACTAACCGTTATTAAGAATTACACATATAAATTATTTGGGATTTATAATATTAAAATGCATGCGGCGGCAATAGGAAGCTTGTGCTCTTTATCCGGCAACTCAGTGGATGTGATAAAAAGGCTTTTCAACCCCACCTGACCGATGTCTTTTAAATTGGAACATTGAGAGCCGTGTAGGGTACATATCTAGTTTCAACTGGCTGAAGGTTGAACATTTACATAAGTAATAGTCCAGGGTGTCATCTTCCGTTTATAAAGTT